GAATAACACCCTTATCAATCCCAGGACCAGGACAGCATATGCATTTGGGATACCATTCATTTGATGGGCAGTGTGAACACTGCCCCTTAGATGTGTGCAACATGTCCTTAATTGGATTCCCAGAGATGCCCATGCTTATCTCTATGTTAGCTCTCCACTTGCTTTACAAACAACCATCTGTTGGCTTGCTGGATCATCTCAACAAAGCTCCTGGATGAGGCAATACAGAAAAATATTTTAAAACATTGCCTCTGAATTAGGGCAAATTGAAGTTCAAAAATTTAATAGCACACTTGATAGCAGTGCAAGCTTGGGAAAGTTATTATTTTATCTAAAATTTATTGTTCTTAACTACAAAATGGGGACATCTACTTCATCACAGCATAATCTATATTATTATATGTAAAACAATTTGTATAACACCCATCATTTAAGTTTTTTACTATTGCATAATTACTAGGTTATATTTTTCTTAGGTTTTAAGCACAGTATCTGGAAGCTTATAAATCTTCAATAAATTAATTATCATTATTGTTGCTATGGAGGGCAGGATTGTGTTATATTAAAACTTTAATTTCTCCTGCCATATAGCAGCTCACAGGGAATATTAGTTGAATTAATTGACAAGTAAACAAGTTGGGACTATTGATTAACCTGTAGATCTTAGAGAGCCCTTACCAGGCACATTTTCTATTAACCTGATGCAGAAATTTACTGGAAGAACATATCAGTATTTTATCTTCCAGTAGAAAAGAAATAGCTTCCTCAACTGGAATAACGTGATAATTTGTCTTGTAATTGCCCCCTGCAATTTGGAGGAACACATGTTTCTTATAATTAACAGGCATTTATTTTTAGGGATGTCATTGGAGCAACAAGCAGAACAATTCTCCTTCTCCTTCATTCTGCACCCTCAGAGGCCACTAGAACTCGTGGGGCTTAGCAGTGCTCATTCCCCAGGTGAATAGGTCTATAATTTGTCATTTACCTTAGCTTTTCAAGTCTGTAAGGATCTGAATAAATAAATAAACAAATAAATGAAAGCTCTTTTTTTCCAGTTGAATTCAGCATTTAAGGCATGCCTGTCACCAAGCCGGCAAAACTTCAGCTTTATTGAGAAATCTGTTGCTAAGACACAATCTGAATTTGTTTGCATACTTTTCTTAAGAATGTTGGGTATTTATTCACAAAGAGGAACTGAGGTATAAGAAATAAAGGTTGGTAGAAATTTCAGGATGGGAGAAGATTAAACCTCAAACTATTTTATTGGTTCCTGTAGACCAGGAGTTCTTAAAGGATGGTTCTGAGACCAGGGCTATCAACATCACCTGGGAACCTGTTAGAAATGTGGATTCTTGGGCTTGCCTCCGACTTACTTCAATCACAGAATTGCTGGGGTAGTGCTCAGTTCAGTGATCTGCTTTAACAATGCTTCCAGGCTCTTGGATGCCTATTACTGTTTGAGATCCATTGCTCCAGAGTCCAGACTAGAATATTATGAAAGCCTCATTAATCTGTGGAAATGGCAAAAGGGGAGACTATTCCCTTTCCTGAAAAATCCTGAGATAACCTCACCTGAGGCAGATGCCTTGATAGAAAATATTTCTTTTAAGACCTATCACACCTACTCTACTTTACTGCTCTGAGTTAATTAACCAGGGTCCAATATCAGCATAAAACTAGAAATAAGTACTCACTATGACCTAGGAGGAAATAACTTGCATACCCAAAGAATTATAAGCTTTTGAAAACACATCATCAGAAACATGGCAACGTATGTACAAATGGATTCTAAGGGTACTTTACTAACAAGGGCAGAACAGACTGCTGGATATTGACTGCCTTCATCGGTATGAATACACAATTTAGAGTTAATCTGTCAACTTGAACAGCTAGTGGTGGATCTAACAGCTCAATTTGTTGCTTGACTGAGTATTGTGCTTGACAGTAGCCTACATTCAGTCAGGTTGAGATGCTAGAGCTCCCTGGCATAATGGGAGCAGGAAACCAAAGTTTTAGGGAGCTGGTGATAGGTACTGAGTTTATATTGTAAGACCTGCCCACCCACCTTTCTTCTTTCAGAGGGCTTGAAAGATAACTCTATCTACCAAGATAGTGAAAATACACAAGTGAGCAGAGCATCTCCATCCATGAAAAACTCTGTAGTTATCTTTGAAGGCCAGAGGGATGCTACCTTTGAGACGAGGTCTTTTGGGGTACCAGGGATTGAGCTCAGGGGCGCTTGGCCACTGAGCCACATCCCCAGCCCTATTTTATTTTGTATTTTATTTAGAGACAGGAGTCACACTGAGTTGCTTAGCACCTGGCTTTTGCTGAGGCTGGCTTTTAACTCGTGATCCTTATGCTTCGGCCTCCTGAGCTGCTGGGATAACAGGTGTGCACCACTGTGCCTGGCTAAGAAAAGATCTTTGATTTTCATATACAGTATGGAATCTCTGAGTAACACTTAACCAAGTGGTAGCACTTAACCATGAAAGATAAGATTAATACATAAATTATCACAACCCTCTTTATCCCAGATAATACTTCTTGTTCAAGCATCTACTTTCACTGATAATTAATGTAGCTATTCCAACTTTCTTTTGTTCATTGTTTACATAGTATATATTTTTACTTTTAACTCATCCATTAATCTTACATTTAAGATGGATTTCCCATAAAYGGAATATGTTTGATATTGCTTCTGTATCCAATCTGACATTCTTTGCCTTTTAATTAGTATATTTTGTCCATTAACATTGAATGAAACATGTGATATGTTGAAACTGGGATTTATAATTTTTCTATCTATTTTTACAAGTTTAATTTATTTTTAGCATTGTCTACTACAATTTCTCTTGTATTACTTGAGAATTTTTATTAATCAAATTTATCTATGCGTGAACTAGTACTTATGTTCTTTAAAAACATTTTATTGTCCACTCTATTATTTATAATATCCATCTTTAATTAAACAGAGTCTACCTTCAGATAATATACTGCTTCATGTATACTCTAAAGACTTTGTAGCAGTATATATCCACTTTATATTTTCTGCTATTTATTTTAATTCATTTATTTTTCATAGGCTATGACCATTCTCTGCATTGTTGCCACTGTGCTTTAGACCATCCATTATGTTTTAAAGAAATTAAAACCAATAATGAAGGGAAACTATTTTGCCTTCATGTGTTTTATTTCTTAGTGCTTTCCAAGTGCATTGATTCAAAGAGACTGTGGCTTTTTGAAACCAAAATGATCTTTGGACCCTCAAACTTTTCCACATCAGGAATCAGAAAAGCTCAGTGCTTGAACTCAAAAGGGGCTGTATTCTTCAGTAACTTTTTCATGTGTGGCCAAGAAGGAAAATGGAAAACTAAGCAGATCTCAAGGGTAGAGTAAAGATCTATAGAGAAAAAAATACTGGTGAGCTGCTGATAGGAGCAGAATCAGTTCTTAACTAGCCAGCCCTGCCTGGAGATCTAGGCACGTCCCAAGTCTGCCTGGAAGCACTGCAAAATTGTTTTGGACAATAAACTGCCCTGTCTGTCCAATTTAGTCCCTCCAAACATGAGTGTTTATTGGGGATATTGTTTCATTATTCAACCACGTGTGTAGGTGTTTGGAAAGCACAAGATTTGCCTTTATTATTTAGGGATCAGAAGTTATGTTTGGAATATAAAGACTGAAATGAGATCTTGTACTGAAAGTCAGTTACTGTGATATTGTGGAACATTCAGTGTATCTTCCATGGGGAGGAAATGAGAACATTTGTCTGTAAGATGGAGGGGAGCATATATAGTTAGACTAAAACAAAAAAAATGGTCATAGCACTTAGCTTTTGTTGCTTAATAAACCACCCCAGAATTTAGTGGCTGAAACAAAATCTATGCATTATTTTTAATGGTTCTAAGTGAGATTCATCCAGGTAAACTTGATAATTTCCCTGAAAGCTGGATACTCTAAGGTGGATTCATTTCCTTGTCTGATGTTGGCTTGATATCAGGTAGGAAAATGTGGATGTTGACAGCATGCCTCTCATCCTCCAGCAGGCTAGCCAGGGCTTGTTCACATGGCATTGTTGCAGGGTTCCCAGCAACATCAGGACAATTAACCCAAGTGAAAGTGCTATATAATCTTCTGCTTGCATCATTATTATTGGCCAAAATATGCCATATAGCTCTTAATGGTAATGGAGCACAGTTTATTGTCAAGGTGCACATGTATGCAGACCTGGAAATAATTTATGATCATCTTTCTAAATTTTATTATTTTATTACTGTATAGGAGAAATTATTTCTACTATAAGATGATAAGATTGGCTTTGATGACAAGAGTGACTTTGATTGATGGAATGTGAACAGAGATGATGTTCAGTAAAAGCTTTAACAACCATTGCATGATTCTAACTTTGACATTTTTGTTCACTCTACCACAAAAATAGCATGTCCCAAATTAGGGCTTCTCCTTTAGCTTATATCCTAGAATGAAGTCATGCAGAGCAGTGTCACAGCTGATCTGTAACATGAATAAAAAATAAACCTTTGTTTGGAAAGCCATTGAGTCTTAGTGGTCATTCTGCTCTACACCAGAACCTAGAGAAAAAGAGTGATTTATTAACTTCTCTTTGGGTATATTTGATCCTTGATTTAAAAATGGATCTCTCCTATTGACTTTTTAAATTATTTAAAACTCTCATATATATTTTAAGATGCCCTTGTTCCTATTTTCTCTTCGAGCTCTGACCCTGTCTCTTCCCAGTCACAGGGAAATTTCTCAACAGCAAAATTCATGACTTCCATTTCCTCACATTCCTAAAATCCCTGCAATCTACATTCTTCCCGGATAACCCCATCAGTGTAACTCTTGCCAAAGTCACCAGGGATCCCCACATGGCTCTTCTGCTGAGTAAACAGTAACTACCTGAGCAAGGTGACATTTGAACATTTAAGAAACCAGAGAACCTGACCTGGATTTATTTTCTCCTATGGCTGCTGCAGGTCTTCTGTGATTTCCATGGCCATTCCCAAAAGAAGAACGTGTTCCTCTATGGTTGCAGTGTCAAGGAGACCCTGTGGCAAGCAGGCTGCACCGTGAGTGCATCTACTCTCTTGGAGGATGTCAGCTACAGGGTGAGTCACTGGGGGAAAATGACAAAACATACTTTATGACCAGTCTTACCTTTGTGACCTGTGTATCACCCATTTTTTTTTGTTGTTTCTAAACAATCATTTTGGTTTCTTTAATGATGGGGTAGTAATACAAGAAGGTGGGAATCTTGTGTTGAATAATGGCTTACTATTTGGTTGCTTTGCCTCTGTGTTCTATGACATGATGTGCAATAAAGGTCATGATAATTAGAGACAGGAAGCCTAATTTCAATACCTGACTTTACAATTATTAACTGTGTGACTATGAGTCATTAACATTACCTCTCTGAACTACCATTCTGTCATCTGTAAAATGAAGATAATAAAAATACTGCCTCTATTACATATATTATGGAAGGAACACAATGATATTGCATACAAAGGACCTTAAATAAGTATGAAGGGCTAAATAAATTAAAGGACTTAAACCATCAACATCTCTCTATATGAGCATTCTATAACAAGCAGAGAAGTAATCCATTGAAACTAATTCTATTTTATCAGGGTCCAGTGTTTAGAGCTTCACTGTTAACCCTGAACCAACTAGGAAATTAAGGAGGAGTAAATAATGGAGGGCTCTTTATTATCAGGATAAAGAAAACAAGCCATTGTTAAGTGAGCAAAATAAAACTGGCCTTTGTTTCAAATTCATGTTGAAAAGGAAGAAAACTAGGGTGGTGCTTACTGCTTCTAAATCTGTTCTGAATATTGCAATTTACTGTGTATGAAACAGCTTCATATTCAAAATTATTAGCTGTCTTAAAAATGGCAAAAGTCCACCAAACTATTCTTCATCTGGAAATACTTTCCCCGTTCCTTGGATTTCTTCTGCCCTTCTTTACCTATGCTCATCAGAAATTGGCTGCTGATGATCAGCACAGTTATCCCAGGGCTATTATTGCAGGATCAACAGTTTATCTGCAATGGCCTCTTTGGTCTAAGACTCAACCAGAGTGACAAGAAGCTTAACTACTTAATCTTACCTAGGAAACTGGTTTAGAAAATCAAAATATTTATTTGAGCAGCTCATGACAACCTGTACAAAAATTTCTCTTAGGCATAATTTGCTTTGAACAACAACAATAACAAAACCCCCCAACAGTATAATCTGAAATATAGTCAGTATGTCCCTTACCACTCCTTTTCCAAGAGAAAGTAACGGCGTTCATGGATGATTCCCCATACCCAGTCAGTGATTTGAAGAAATAGAAACTTAAGAAATCTCCTGTAAAAAGCTGACATGGAATGGGGCAGAGGCTAGGTATCATTGTCAATTACAGTATGGATTATTAGCCGATGTACTTCAATTTCAGTAAATGGATCATGCTACTTAATTAACAAACTTGATGGATACTCTGAGGCTTAGTATGGTGTCAGGTAATATGTGAGGCCTAACATGACAGGTGGATATGCCAAAACCTCTGCCCTTGAGGATAAACACAGTAGTGTTTAATAGCAATGCTATTTGAAAGACTTATCCTTCTGAGCATGGTGGCACATGTCTGTTATCCCAGCAACTGTGAAGGCTGAGTCAGGAGGGCTGAAAATTGGAGGCCAACCAGGGCAACTTGGACCCCATCTCAAAACAAAATGTAAAAAGGGCTGGGAGTATAGCTCAGTTTTAAACCATCACTAGGTTCAATTTCCAGTATGAAAGAAAGGAAGGAAGAAAGGGAAGAAGGAAAGAAGGCAGACTAGTCCATCTGAACACTAATATGATCTATTAAGTGGAGTGCGACAGCTGCCTGAGTCTCATTTCTCCCTTGTCAAATGAGAGGGTAAAAGTTTAAAAGTAATTTATTAAATTAATTCCATTGATGCTCTAGAATTCTTTGAAGTTGATTCATGAGATACTATTAGATATGTGGAAGAAGTCAAGTGAGTAAGGTTTTGCCCCCACCCTTACTTTCAACCTAAACTATCTTGTTTTTTGGGTCCTGAATATGTAGCTCCTTCCATCACTGACAATCTGACATCAGTGATCTATAAATAACAACCTGGATTATGGTGATTTACGAAACATGATTTTTGTATGTGTGTCTGTTTGCAAATGGATCTTTTCAGAATCACAAGGACTCATTTTATTGATGAGGAAACTTATATCCAGGGAAGAATGTTTGTGTAAGATGTTAGTGTAATGTTACAGTAATGACACTTGCCAGGAGTCAATAGCCCTTGAGGCTTTCTAACATTGACATCTAAAATGCAACAATTCTAAACATGTTTCTTGTCTTTAAGCATAAGTATTGGAGAGACAATTATATACTATATATATTCCATTATATTTTACATTTACTCTACAACATTTATTCAATTTTATTAATTATCTTAATGGAACTACTTCTAGTTATGTTGGTATAAGTAGGTCAGTAAACTCTCTCTATAAAACACACATATAGAACAAATGACGAATTTGCCAAAATCAACCATTTTAAGATTCTAGAAATTAACCAAGAGCTGAGAAAAAAATGAGAAACATTTGTTCTTGAAATTTGCTGGAGTTTCATGTAAGAGCAGCAGAAGTCTGTGACTTTCTGGATTGGGGCTGCTCTTGACCCTCTTTGTTTAATCATAAAAAATGCAGTTTTAGCAATGCAAGGATGGACACACACACACACACACACACACACACACACACAGAGAGAGAGAGAGAGAGAGAGAAAGAGAGAGAGAGAGTGTTCCAGAAATTCATAGGTAAGATTTTTGAAGTGAGAGAGCCATAGAAAGCTAATGCAAGATCTCTGTATATCCATATAAGAAAATGTGTGTCTGTGCAGGGGAGACCCAAGGAAGCACAGGAAATAGAAAATCCAAAGTAACTTGAGAACTCACCACAAACTTTGAAAGTTCTCCCAATCTAAATACAAATCAAACAACAAAGAAGGAAATTTTATGGGCTGAAGATGTTTGAGTATAACTTCTGTCCAAATCATTGGCTAATCATTAGGCTTAGCAGACATATATAACAAGATAAAAAAAATTAAATATTTAAAAAAGCATGAGGAAACATCAGTGACGTTCATTTCAGAAGAGGAAAAGGACAAAGCTTCTGTAGATTAATTCAGAAAAGTGAAAAAATTCTAAAATAACGTTTAGAAAAGTAAAATAGAATCCAGAGGTGCTATTAAATATAATATATAATGTCCTATTTTTCAACAAAAAATTACAAGGCTGATAAAGAATGAAGAGTGTGTGATCTATACTCAGGAAAGAGTGCTGTTGGTAGAAATTGACTTCTATGGGCCATGATGTTGAATTTCTCAGAAATAATTTCAATATAACTATTAAAGTATATAAAAATATTAAAGAAAACTATTCCAAGGTTAATATAAAATATGATGACAATGGTTCAACATAGAAGGAATAGATAATTAGAAACAAAAAGGGAAGGAAAGTCCTATAACAAACATGAAAAATTTGCTGGATAGAATCATTATCAGATACCAGGATAATGAATCAGTAAATGTGATGGTCTATCTAAACTTATTCAACTCAAAGAACAGAGGGGAAAAAAAGATTAAATTAAAGGAAAGAGTCTTATAAACCTATAAGAAAACATCAAACATAGCAATCAACATGCAACAGGAGACAGTAAAGAGTGAGAAATATACCTCGAAAAATATTTGAGGAAATAATGGCTAAAGAAGAAGGCCATATTGGAAAAGCAAAAAAAAAAAAATAATAATAATAATAATAATAAATAGATATGTACATAAAATAAGTAGCAAAATTGCTACTTATTTTATGTACATATAAACATTTACATTAAATATAAATGCTAAAACATTTTTTTCAAAAGGCAGAGGCTTTAAGATTTATTAAAAATGAAATTTAGTTTTCTATGCTATCTGTGAGAGAAATGCTTTTTTATTTTTAATATTTTTTTTTAGTTGTCAATGGATCTTTATTTTATTTATTATTTTATTATTTTATTTTATTTATTATTTTTTTGTGGTGCTGAGAATTGAACCCAGTACAACCCCAGCCAGAGAGACATGCTTTTGTTTCATAACACAAAAAAAGTAAAAAAAAAATAAAGGATGGGAAAAAGATACATAAAGTATAACCATAACAAAAATGAAGTAGTTATATTGATATAATACAAAATAGACTTAAAAAAAGAAATATTCCTAGGGATAAGAGTAGCAATTGATAATACTGAAAGGAGTAGTTCATCAGAATAACATGATAATTATCAATCTCTGTGTACATATTACTCCCAAATACACAAAACAAAAATAGAATTAAAAAATATATGTTAAAAATTCAGTAAAAATGGCTGGATATATTAATATTAGTCTCTCAATAAGTGATAGACTTACTAAACAGAAAATTAGTAATTCTAGAGAATACTTGACCTAACTCATTACATGCATAATACTTTTCCTCAAAACAAAAGAAGACATATTTTTTTAATCCACATCAAGAACTCTCCAGGATATTATAGGCTACAAGACAAATATTGATAGGTCTTTAAAAAATGAAAACATAAAATATTTTCACCAGCCACAACATAATTAAATTTTAAATCAATTTTAGTAAGAAATATAGGATATCACTGGATATATGGAAATTGAACAGCTTGCTTTAAAGTAAATCATTGGACAAATAGGAAATATGAAGGAAAATTAGAAAATATCTTGAACTAAATAAAAGTAAAAACAATATATCAATTTTGTGGCATGCATCTAAAATTTATAGCTTTGAATGCTTATATTAGAAAGATAGAAGATCTAAAATCTGTAATCTTAGCTTTCACATTTATAATCAAGAAAAAGAAGAGCAATTAAAATCCTAGGTAAGCATAAGAAAGAAAGAAAGTAAAGACCAAAATTAAAACTGATGAAACAAAAATAATTCAAACAATAGAAAAAACATAGTCATAGTTTTGCTTTTTAAAGTGATTAACAAGATGAGAACACTTTAGCAAAAACAACTAAGGAAAGAAAGACAACACAAACTACAAAAATTAAGAATGAAAG